TGGTCGTAAAAAACTAATACTAATAAAAAAAAATAATAATAATAATGGGAACACTTCTTTTATTCAACCAAATATCATAAAACATACAAAATAATACAATATTCAATATATATACAAATAAAAAATCCCAATAAAATACTAATAAAAAAAATAATCATGTATACGATAAAACCCTATTACTCATTATCGTTGGACAAGTGCAAATAGGAAGCTTATTTAAAATGGTCATACAATGTTTCTGTCGCAATATATAGCGTATGTCGATTTGATTACAGAGTTGATCAATTTGTCAATAAGTGTATTAGACCATGAAATTTTTATAGACATTAAATTTAAAATATTAAAAAAGCCGATCGGAGTAATTTCAAATGTTTTAAAAATAATATCATAGTTTTTATAATCAATAGTTAAACATGAATTTAAATTATTAATGTATTTCGATTGCTTGTAATTTTTAGAATGAATTAGATTAGTTTCATGGCACACTGTCAACTCAACGATTTCAATTTTTTGCCCTGTAGAATGGCGATGTCTGGACGTAGGTTGACGAACAGTTGTGACATTGGCAGGACTCCGTTCATTACGATATCAGCAAATATCAGGCATTCAGATGAACGGCTTGATATCAAGCAATTGATGATTTCTGATAAAATTCTATCATGTCTTTCTGTATATCGTTTTAACGCGACTACGGTTCCACAGTTGGAAACTACATGTTTGTTCGTTTGTTTAGCGCCACAGAGAGGACATAAGGAATTCAGTGTCTTACCCCATCTAAACAGATTAGCGTTAATTGGCAGTTGCTGAATTAAATATTTTTTAGCAAATTTAAACAGAGTATCTGGCAGTAAATCGAGTTTCTTAGACCAGTTTGTTATTTGAGAAGATGATAATACGTTAGTTACCGACTTGATTAGGGAACCTTGACCTTGAAGCAAGACCCTGTGACTTAAGGAAGCAGCAATACGACCATCTTCCAATTTTTTTAGAGACTGAGATTACGTGGCTGAATCAGATAGCAAATTATCCACCATTTTGTAGTCTACCGCAGTTTCACGCCAAAGATAACGTATTTCATTATTTGAGTTTGTCTTGAAATAATTGCGGAGTTTTAATCTCATTCTCAACGCTGTGTCCTTGAGTGAAACAATATTGTGACCACCAAACTTTAAAGGTAGACCCAGTATCTCAGACACACAGCCACTAATTGGTATTGATAGTCAACTTCTGGCAGCTTCAACAACTAGATTGTCCAAGTTGTTGGCAATCCACGTCAGTGAAAAACTATAACTTCGTAGTTCGAACTTCAATTGTGATGGAATGAATCTTCTTAATGTGTGTAGTTTCATTTTAGAAGAAACATCGAGTTCGGTCGTAACTTTTAACAGACGCGTTAATTTGGAAACAACCTCATCTTTTGCTTTTGTGTCTTTCAATTCTGAATCATAAATTTTTCCCAGGTATTTGAATCCGCAACCAATTTCCACTATTGGAATAGGCATGTCATCTATTGTCAACCTGGGCAAAAATTGATCGTATGAGCTATCCTTTTGTCTTAGGTACATGGTGGTAGAGCAAAATTGAGTTGATGAGATGATGACTCACTTCTCCAAACGCATTTCGGAGATCCAGTAGCGCGATGATTATTGTGCGTTGATGTCTCTTTGAATCTTTCATCAAGTGAGTCAACATCTTGGTGTGTTCCGCCAGACCATCGGTTGTTGGGTAGAATCCTTTTTGTGTGTTTGTATTAATGAGTTTGTTTTTGTTGAGGAAATCATATAGTTTATTTTTTAGTAACGTTGATAGAATTTTGTAAAGTGCTGACTGCAACGTTATGGGGCGAAAATTGACCGGATCGTTTGCATCACTTTTTTTTATAAATTAAAATTGTTAGACCATCTTGCCAACACGTCGGAATTGTTGCTTCTTTCCAGCATCTGATTATTAATTTATGAAGATACGTGCGAAGTATTGGACACCTCTTCAATTGTTGAAATTTGGTCTAACGGACAGGGCGTTACTTTGGCCTTGCATTTGTTAACAACTGACGCAACTTCATTGTAGGATGGTAGTCCAGTGTCACCAACGAATGACGGTGGCGGTAGAGGAGGAATCCACTCCGGCAATTCAAAAGAAGTTTTATTATCCGCTATCAATCCTTTGCGAAAGAAGTTGCTGGCGTCGACCACACTGAACTGAGGAAGTGTATTTGGAGATGAAGAAAATGATGATTTGCATGACTTCCAGGAATTGTTATTGAATTGTGATGTTGTTGAGACGTTAACATTTTTGTTGGTTGTGTTTTTAATCTAATTCGAATTAATCTACTTAGATTTGATATTTGACTGTTGCAGAGATTGTTGCTGTTTTTTGCCTTTAGTTGTTTTAGCTCCTTTTTAAACTGTCTAATCGAGTATTCTGTTTTTAAATTATTTGTTGTTTGAATTTTCACAAAGCCGTAATTTTTAGCAAAAGCAAAATAGGAGTAGATAATTTGCTGAAAGCTAGTAGCAAAGTTGTCGACGTTCATGTTATTTAAGCATTCTAATTCAACTTGAAAGAATGCGTTTGCCTCTATCCATTCAGCAGGTGATTTTGGAAGTTTGACGCCCTCAATGGCTGTGGGGTAGCCGTATGGGTTGCCTTGTGTTCAAAACCCGACTGGTTTGGGTCTCGTGAAGCGGATTGTTTTTCTTCTTTTGGATCTTTTGGATTGTTAGTCCTTTTTTGCCCTTACAGGGCTTCCCGCAGCAACAGGTCAACATATTATTAAGATTATTTGCAAAATTATCGTCAATATTTATTAAATTTGGCAAAATTTTGATGGTTGCCGAGTTGTTAACATTAGAAGTTATTATATTAGTTGCCTTTGTCTATTTAGAAATATAAAAATTTTTGAACAATGCGGACAAATTGTTGCATTTATTAAATTTATTGAATTTAAAATCACAATTAAACTATTTAAATTATATAAAATATAGTTTTTATTCAAATTAAAAATTAAAACGACAGCCATATTTATTAAAATTTGCGAAATTGATAAAACCAATCTTAAATATAAAACTTCGATAAAAAACACTATTATTGCATACAAACAATAAGCTGATAAAAATACAACTCTCTTGTTCAACGTCTTGTACAATAATAATAATAATAATAAAATAATAATAATAATATAGGTATAAAGCCATTACGTATACAAGTTTCATAAAATTCTATCACTATAGTAAGTACAATTTATTAATTTTAATTTATTTATTTTATTTTTAATTAATTTATTTTTTTCTAAAAATAAATTATATTTTATTAATTAGTTAATTAATTAAATTAACAAAAAGTTTTATAATTATTTTGTTGTTTTTTATCGAAATTTTATTGTTATTAATTTAAAAATAACATGTTTAAATAAAAATTAAATTATTAAAATAAATTAAATATAAACTTATAAAATTAAAATAGTTTAAATGCAACAAATAATCATTTTTTTCGGCAAAATTGCCATCATCAGTGTTACAATTTGAAATACAGTTTAAAACATTGTTAACCACAAACTAAAAGTAAAATTATGTATTAACATATATATAGAATATATAATATATTTGAAGTTCCTTATTATCAATACATATAGCATGTGACAGGGGGCCGTAATAATTTTATAATTGTTGATAATTCCGCCATCTTTTTTGAAAACGAACATGTTTCCTAAGTTTTGTGAGCTCTATTAATTCAATTATAAAAATTGATAAAAATTGCTTGGAGGTTCAAAAATATTTATTAATGTTGTCTCAGGATTACTGCGTTGGATTTCTACGATTTGTGCAATGGCTGAGAAGGCTAAAATATAAATATTCACAAATTATAGTTTGATTCATGGCCCATATATAATGGATCCGATAGATGATGGAATATATTGTCATTTGAATTATGTAATTGTTTTAATTGCAGAGCAATATTATCATTTAAGACATAACTATTACAAAAGTACAATGAACGTTGAGTTGCGAAATATGAGGGAAGA